TGAAATAGAATTTCATGTCCAGTTTGTTTTAGGGCATGTTCAGCTACTGCAGATTTTTCTGGTTGTTTTAGTCTGCAGTGTCTCTCATGTTCTTTGATTCTGGTGTGGATGCTTCGTTTTGTGGTTCCAATGTATACCTGGCCACAACTGCAAGGTATCCGGTATACTCCTGCAGTGGTGAGGGGGTCCCTTCTGTCCTTTGCTGACCGTAACATTTGTTGTATTTTTGTGGTGGGCTTGAATACTGTTTGTAAGTTGTGTTTTTCCAGAAGTTTCCCCATGCGGTCTGTGACCCCTTTGATGTATGGCAGAAATACTTTGTTTGTGGGTGGCTGTTTTTGTTCTTCAGTTCGGTGTTGTTTTCTTGATTTGATGGCTCTTGTGCTTTCATTTTTGGAGTAGCCATTTGCCTGTAGGGCCCAATTCAGGTGGTCGAGTTCAGTGTTGAGAAACTGAGGTTCACAGTTCCGATTTGCACGGTCTACCAGTGTTTTGATTATGCCTCTTTTTTGCCTTGTGACCTCCGACTGGGACACAAGGTCTACAGAAAACCCACCCACACAGACAGGTACCTACACAAAAACTCCAACCACCACCCACGGCGGTGGAGGTCTTCTAGTCCACTTGGAGGTCTTCCCTTTTTGCCAAGTATTTAAAAGAAGTAAGGCAGGAAGAGAAACCTTAACTTGGAAATATTCTAAATCTTTTCACTGCTGTGGCTGTAGAATGCTGCAGTATAGAGAACTTCATTGTGCACAATTCCAACTCTTTTTCCCCCCTTTTTCCTCTCACAACAACATCTGAACACTTCAAGGACCATGCACACCAGACAATCACGGATCTTCATGTATTTATGGATACCAGAGCAGCAACACACTGTGTTTGCTCTGCAAGGCTGAAGCACTGATAATTTTCAACACAGGCTTATCCACCACAGGAAAACAAGTGCCTTTTATATAAATTCAGTGTGACGTTCTGTCTTGATCACCGAGATGCATCTTTAGAGCAAAACATAAAACTGCACCTGCACCATTCATCTGCTTTAGCATGAACTGCTTGAGGCAAAAGAAGTGGCATACAGGGTAGGATTACCAAGCAGCATTCTAAGCTGGGGAATTCGTTGTTATGTAAGAGAGGTGTTCTACATTACCTTGATGTCATGGGAAATCTGCGCAATCACCACGTGATCGTATGTCGGCTGGGATCCCCCATAAAGAGTCCTGCAATTTTCCATACTGCCGCAATAAGACATGGTCCTCCAGGGCACATGGGAAGATCTGTAGCTGTTCTCTGTGGTTAGAGCTACGCCCATTTTTTAGAAGGTCAAGTAAAGGCTTGGAGACTTGTTTTGGCGTCAGGGGAAGGTATGGCACTGGTGTAGCTCCAGCAGCTACCATGACAACAGTCTAAAGATACAGTACGCCTAGAAACACACTCTTCTGCTCTGAAATTCAGCTCTCCCACACACAGCTTCCTGCAGGAGACATCTATGATCTGTGGGCTGAATGCTGGTTGCCTCTCTCTCTCTTCCTATTTGTCCCCTTCCCTCATGCTTCCAGTATGCTAATCACAATCTTTTTCTTTGTTATTGGTAAAATCTATGAGACAATTAAAAAAAAACTTTTAACACTTTCTTCTTTGTTGATGTGGGGGAGAAATACCCTGAAAGATGGCTTTGGAACCGTAACAGGAAATAGCTAAAATAGATTTATTTATTTTTTTAGCACATGGATTTCCACAGCCTGGCCACTGCAACAGAAAAAAAAAGCTCCTTCTTATGTTCCAATCCCTAGGTTCCCAACCTTTGTTACTCGGATGTTTTTGAACTGCAGCTCCCAGAAACCCCAGCCAGCAGTTGGTGGTGAAGGCTTCTGGGAGTTGCAGTCCACAACTCCTGAGTAAGCCAAGGCTGAGAACCAGTGTTCTAATCAACAATGTTTTTCAATCAAGGGAGTAGCATTACACACAGATGTCTTCAGATAGCGTACTAATTTTTCCCTGGATTATATATAGCTTTAAAAAAAAACCTACTTGACTGAAGTTTTCCTTGGTCCTTTGTACAGTCAGAGGCTCATGATCATTCTAACCTTTAAGGACATGGTATTAGCTTCTGTTTTCTTTAAAGCTGAAAATGGTGAGGCCTTCTAGGTAGGCGTTTTAAAGAGGCAATATACAACATGCATGTCAGAGAGAGATGTGTAACTGCAGCCAGACTGACCATCTCCAGAAAGAAAAACACACAATTACTAAACTGGTCTAAGCTGTGCTTGAAGCATTCCCTGCCTAGAAATCAAGGCACAAGATGAGATCAAGAAATACTAAGGAATTGTGAATCTGTTTTTTCACAAGTCCACGGAGAACATCCCATTCACTTCTTACTGCACCAGTACTCTAATCAAACACACTGCGTTCTTAACTTCCAGCTGAGCTGTGCATTTATTCTTCGCTTCCTTTTAAGACCCACCACCCGGCTTGCCTTCTTTTTCACTCGTCCCTCTCTCAGTGGGGTCTGTTTTAAAAAGAAAGAAAAACCTACACCTTGGCTTCCCCCCCCCTTTTTTTTTTCTCAAGAAGCAGCCGGCTGCTGCCTCTCTGCATGCATTTACCTCTCAGCCGATAGGCGGGCACATGGGCAGGGATGGCAGGCCAGGCTCCCAGTAGAGAAGCAGCCTGCTTTCTCCAAAGAGGGTGGTGGCGGCAGAAGGACTATATAAGGAGGCAACAGGGGCAATGGGAAGGGGAAGGGTGCAGGCGTGGGGGGGGGGAGGCAACAAATCAGGAAGTTCATTGCATCATCCCAAAATCCATTGCTTAGGAAAGTTTGCATGTTCTGGTTTGGATGAATCCAAACTGATCCAAATCAACTAATTGGCTGTTTTAGATGAACTTCCTGATTCGTTCTCTAATAATGATCCATAGTTTCATGATCTATTAAGGCAAAGATTGTGTTGTGATTTACAGAGCTGTTGTAACACCTATTTATTTAGAAGGATCCATAGTCTTTCAAAGTCTTTCTTTCACAAGCCTCCGATATGCTCAAGTAGCTAAGATACATTTGCAACACGATCTCTAGTGCCCTTTTTTTTCTAAATCCTGTTTGAACATCTTTTATTTCTTGCTCCAAGTATGATAAAAGTCTTAATTGTATCATCTTAAGTATCACTTTGCTTCCATGGGAAATTAATTCAGTGATCCTATGGCCACTCTCCTCTTCAGTATCTTCCTTCCTTGGGACAGTACTGTAATATATACTGAACTTTTAAAATGTGGTCTATTGTTCTGCTTCCCATATTTGCTGGCAAGGATTTGTTAGGATTTTGACAGTCTTTGCAACTTAAAACACCTCCACTTGTATCTCATCTACTTCTAGTGACTTGTTTCTTCTTTCATAGATGCATACCTTAACAACACACAAAGGTGACAGAAATATTTCCATTAAAGGGTTATTCCCCTGCCCTGCAAAAAAAGAGACCAGAATCTGGACCACCACAAGCAATCTTGGGATATTAAATGCCTCCTCCCTCAATCTGAGACTTCCACAGGCTTTCATGGGTCAAAAGGGATGCTTAATGAGCCTTGTAACCTAAGGGGGGGGGAGGGATAGGAAACTTTAAATTAAAGATTAATACAAATGGCTGATGCTGATATCAGCCTTTACAACCATGCATCTCCACTAACAGGATTCCAGCCAAAATGTGTTTTTCACCTATACTTTATTAGAACAAAAACTGAGCACAGAAATGTGCAATTTCAATGCCTTGTATTTCAGCTTTTAAAAGTGGCATATGCATGTGAAAGACAGACTGAGAAAGAAAGGTGGACTGATGTATGTGGGTGTGTACACACCCAGTTCTTGTGACTCTGTTGCAGAACTGTATCCTTTCAGCAATTAGAAACTGCATGCCTATTTATCTTGACGAAAAGAGCTCTTAATTTGAGTTCTTCTAACACTGGCTTACATATTAAAAGCCAGGTGAGTTAATAAATCATCCAGTCAAATAAAGTCTCTGCATCTCAAACATTTACTCTGCCAATACCCCCAAAGGGAACCAGTTTGAATATTTCTAGAGATTTTTGCCCACCATCCATGGCTTCATTAATCAAATTGCTTTTCCATGACAAATGGTGTGCAGCAGCCTATGAAAGTATCTGCAACTAAAATGCCAACTGAACAAACGCACGGCTAAATTTTTACCAGTTATTCCTGGAATTGATCATTTCTTACACTCAGAAAAGTCACAGCAAATCAAGCAGCATCAGTTGCTACTTGTAATTAACAAACTAAATGGAATCATCACGTGTAAGAGGTGATACTTGTTTAACATTTATAAAAGTCTGGCTGTCCACTGCCACAGAAAGGACACATTGCAGAAACAGCTAGAATGAATGGCCGAAATTGTGCTGCCGTTATGCAAAAGGCATAACTTTTAGCATCAAATTAAGAAATCTCTGCACATGTTTTTGTTGCCTACAGAGATGTCATTACACAAGACAGTTCTCCTCTAAAAGTTATGCCTTTTATGCCATCCCAAAAAGGTGGGATGAAATCCAATGAATAACAGGTTGTTATTCATTCATTCATTCATTCATTCATTCATTCATTCATTCATTCATTCATTCTGGCATGGCATGAGCTCTAATAAATAAATTTCTAGTCTAATTTATAATACAATGATATGAAACGGAACCAGTATTCAAATGCACTGCAATTTCCTGGAACCCCTGTTTTGTCTCTATGAACAAATTCAAGCACGAAAACCTTCAGGCCTCAATTCAAATGCTTGTTTCACCTAAACTAGACCCACTCAATCCACTACTGATGAGCAAGTCAATACTCACAGAAATCCCACTGATTCAGCATGTCTATTCCAGTTAGGATTAGCAACTGGAGGTGAGCATCACGTACTGCCCTGCTTACATTTCTTGATAGAAGAAGAGTAATTATTTATTATTTATTTTCCTGAGAATTTATTTAAATTTTCAAACAGCTGATGAGGCAGATTAACTACTACTTCAGCAGCGGTTTTTGGAGCTGATGCCTCACGCATTAGTAATGGAAAAGTAAGATAAAAGATGAGGGAAATGTCATGAAGGCTCCTGGAAGCAACACACATAGAAGACTTATGGCAGAGGAATAACAACAAGGCCACATTTTGCCAAACACTGGAGTAGTCTGAGTGTAACACTGTATTCTAATCTCATATTAGTTTGGGCAGAGTTTTTTTTTTAAAGATGCTTCTAATCATCTGACTTTATAAGAGGTTGGCTGCAATTAAATATGGTGTGGCCCACGTACCTAGCAGAAAGAGGCATAATTGTCAGCAGATAGACTGTACTATTTCAGATTTCAGACGCGAATATCATTCCTGAATGCTCCCCTCCATTTAAAAAAATCACCCATTGATAAGAAAACTTGGACTACAGCATTATTTGGGGGCAATCAGGTGAGCATATAGCTCACTATTTGGTTTACTTTTTTCTGTGATTTGGTTCACCCTATTTTCTGGTGACTAGATGTGTTGTAAGTAAGAGCAATCCATCTTACCCCTTCTGCAAGATGTACCACTTCTTTCTGGCACAACACTAGGGCTGCTATTTATTTGGTGCCATAGGGAGCACTCCAGATTATCCCATTCTGCAATCTGTGTGGTTGCTTAATTCATTCCCAAATAGAGCTGAGGGCAGAGTTCTCTTTGGTGACAACCTTGTGATGTATGCAGTAGGTTGTGACCACAGGAGGGATGGCAGAGAAACACTCTTCTCTATTTTCCCCTTCTCACAATTTTGAAAATATTCTCCTAAGTGGCACAGCGCTATGTCAGATATAAGGGAGTATCTATTCAAGGTTGATGTATTGCTGTAGTGGCATGCCCCTTACTAGATTAAACAAAAAGGGAAGGCATTGCTACTCTCAGAATGACAGTCACAACAAAAGAAGGGAAGAGGGTGGGAGAAGGATGTCAGTAATTAAAAGGGGGAGAAATTGGAGCAATCTGCAGTGCAGTCAGGATCTTTTTCATGGCAGAAGAAATGTGAATGGAAGGATCACTCAAGTATGAAATAAAAGGGATCACACCAAATATAAGAACCTTTTAAATGTGATCTGTATAAGTCTAAATTCCTGCCTAGTCACATCCTTTGTTTACTTCCATGGAACCTCCTTATCCAAAGCAATGAAGAAATATACCTTCATTTGTGGTCTGAACTCTTGTATTCTTTGTTTCCTTTCCCAGATCCTAACATCTCATTTCCTTCATGTGCATATTCAGCCAGTATAATCCCTAGCATCAGTACTCATACCTTGCT